TAGCTCAGTGACCCCTGAATACTTACCTGTTACTATTTATAGCTCAGTGACCCCTGAATACTTACCTGTTACTATTTAGAGCTCAGTGACCCCTGATTACTTACCTATTACTATTTATAGCTCAGTGACCCCTGATTACTTACCTGTTACTATTTATAGCTCAGTGACCCCTGATTACTTACCTATTACTATTTATAGCATTGTGACCCCTGAATACTTACCTGTTACTATTTATAGCTCAGTGACCCCTGATTACTTACCTATTACTATTTATAGCTCAGTGACCCCTGAATACTTACCTGTTACTATTTATAGCTCAGTGACCCCTGAATACTTACCTGTTACTATTTAGAGCTCAGTGACCCCTGAATACTTACCTGTTACTATTTATAGCTCATTGACCCGATTACTTACCTATTACTATCTATAGCTCAGTGACCCCTGATTACTTACCTATTACTATTTATAGCTCAGTGACCCCTGATTACTTACCTGTTACTATTTATAGCTCAGTGACCCCTGATTACTTACCTATTACTATTTATAGCTTGTGACCCCTGAATACTTACCTGTTACTATTTATAGCTCAGTGACCCCTGATTACTTACCTATTACTATTTATAGCTCAGTGACCCCTGAATACTTACCTGTTACTATTTATAGCTCAGTGACCCCTGAATACTTACCTGTTACTATTTAGAGCTCAGTGACCCCTGAATACTTACCTGTTACTATTTATAGCTCATTGACCCGATTACTTACCTATTACTATCTATAGCTCAGTGACCCCTGATTACTTACCTGTTACTATTTATAGCTCAGTGACCCCTGATTACTTAGGCCGCCCAACTCGGAAAGAAGAACTACTTCAGTGCAGTATTCCTGGATCTGTCCAAGGCCTTTGACTTAGTCTGGGTTGATGGTTTGCTTTTTAAACTTAATAAACTTGGCATTCGGGGTCGCATGTTCAGGTGGATCCAAGACTTCTTAAGGGATCGCCAGATACAAGTGAACGTCGCCAATTCTCTCAGCGAGAAGCACTCGTTGGAGAATGGCACCCCGCAAGGCTCTGTTATTAGCCCAACCCTCTTCAGCATTATGATCAATGATCTGGCCCTGGATTATGTA